ACGCGTATTCTGATCAGCACTTTTTATCTCTGAGCAAGCAACTGCAGTGGGAACATAGAGCTTATGTTATGAGTCATGCTGGTTATTATTTTACTTCACAGTTTAACTTATTCCACTTGACATAAAATTTGCATATACCTCTAGACTGAGCGAGCACATGACAAAATGAGAGAGAAAAGATTCAGTATAAAGCTGACTGTTAGAAAAGTTAAAATAAAAAGCTACTAATCTTTTTTAAAAATATGTAGAACTATTTATTATTTAATGCTAATTATGAGATTTGTAAAATTAATTTTATTCTTGAATTTGTTTTATAATTAACTCAAATATTATATTTTGCTTAATAAAAATCTGATGTGTACACCACATGACTTCCTTGTACGGAATATTAAATTATACACATTTTTTCTTGCATTTTATTTAAACTTATTAGATTGAATTAAACCTACTTCGCCGACAGCGCATAAACCACAATAGAATAAATGCATTCTTTAAAATTCACTTTGTTTACCATAGCGAAACTCTGGCGCTAGGTTTACTTAAAAGTATTATATTTCATTCATATTATAACTCAGAATGCACAAAATGTATATCATATAAAGAGTTACCTAATCTTTGCCACATGTTCTATTCAAATACTATAATAAAGCTAGAACTATGTATAAAAGAAATTAAGCAAACAAAACAGAAACAGTTTTTCACAGACGATTGAGTATTTCTCATTTAATTCAGTTCTCACTTCGCGAGAAGGCAAAAATACATAAAAACTCAAAATATCTATATTAAAAATTACGAAGTAAATCTCAAACGCTTATTTCCTCGAAAAAATTCCAGAAAGAATTAAGCATGATTTAATTGGCAATAATAAATGAATGCGTTATCTTTGTTGTTGCGAAGCTAAGTTTCTCTAGATTGGCAACAAATCCACTAGTTTGCTGTTTCAAATGTAAACATCAATGGCCGCCATTAAAAACAGGCTTAGCGGCAATTAAACAACTCTAAAATTGCTGATAATTCTAAAAATATTGCACACAGATTTACTAAAGGCATAAAATCCTTAACCAGAAGATAAAAACAACTTAATTCAATCATTTTTAAAGCAAAAAATGTACAATTTACAAACATATAAGAGTAAAGAAACTGAGATCACTGAGCCGGGTAATAGAGTGGATATATATATAAATATATTTATATACGTTTGGTGCTGCCGATTGCAACTAAAATACGAGGTGCACATCTACATGTTATAGCAGTCCTATATACAAAATTTCAACATTCTAAGGCTACTCGTTTTTGAGTTATGCGAGATACGTACATACGTTCGTACAGACGCCACGAAAAATTCTCTTCAGAATTAATTTTAAAGCAGTTTTATAATTTTTTTGAAGGAAAAGAGTATTTTATTCTGTCCTTACGTACAGATATGATGCAAAAACATCGTTAAATTGCATTCGATAGCGGTCAAAATGGATATTTTCGTTGAAATATGCTGCCTGAAACTTTTCGCGATTACAATACTTCCTTTTTACTTCGTACAAGGAAGTAAAAATGTTGTTGTCATGCCCATATTACATAGAACAGTGGTTCTTAGAACCTACTCCAAAGAGAGGGTGGACTTCTATTTTCCACCCTCAAGGTAGGTCACTCAGGGGTCTCCCACCCTCTGCCTTTCCGCTAATCCACACTAAAGGACTTTCTGCTCGCTGCTATACCACACCAGCGCTACACATTTACAAACATTCATGTCTTCTCCGGGATTCGAACCCAGACCCTTCGGTACATAGTAGGCTTCACTATACCATGTGGGCGACGTTTAATTGACAATGCATTCTATGAAAAGTCCTTAATTTTTTTCATCGATTACTCAATTTCCACGTACCTGTAGTGTACTAAACCTGTAGTTTCTGCTTTCCAGTGCATATCATTTTGGCCCAGTAATACAGTCCATTAACCTTTTATACTCTAGCATTGCAATCATCTTTATAACACAACGAACCTTTCGGCAAATAGCATGAGAATAGGTTTTATCAGAATTGTAAATACCATCTGAACAGAAAATTTTCTAAAGTAGGGATTTTAGTTTTTTGCCTTTATATAGCACTTCCATTATCTGTACTGTTCTTTTTTTTTTTAAATGTGACATTGTGTCTTTCTGTAGAGACACCAACCATTAGATTTTTTTTTTTAATCATTGTAGTGCCTAGTTAGCCATGTCTTCTGACTTGCCTTCATTGGGCGGCTGATATTCAGATCTGAGGTGTTAATAAATAGAAAACCATTAATCTAATACTTCTTTCACGTATGGATCTCCCTTCCATTACTCTTATGGATATTCTTGGAATTTCTGTTTGTAATTCCTACTCCTCATGCAGCTGGTTTTCTCATTGTAGGAAATGCACTGTGGTAGATTTTGGTGTACTAGGACATCAGCAAGTCTACAATGGCTTGTATTCAGTGACTGGCTTTTATTTTTATCCATCAAAGTAATTTTGCTTGAAAATATAAAATCATTTCTCAGCATTTTGAGACTGGCAAATTTTAAATAAATTCGATACTGTAAATGAATGCATTGCTAGATGCAGCTTATGGTAATGGCAGATAAATAATTGATTCCCATTACCCTAATGTTGGCATATTTTCGAAAAATCCCAGATATATATATAAAAAATTACTGAATTTCTTTTGGCCCATTAAGCGTTTAAATTATGCGTAAGTTTGGGTTGAGTTTTTTTAAAGATTTGACCCGAAAAAAAGTGACTAGAGATCAACTGTAGTACATTACTATGTTTATACGCACAACAGTTTGTATATTAATTATTAATTTTGTTTTCGTGTTTAAAGATACTTTGATAAATAAAAAATTTTCTGCCTTTCACAGTATAAAAATGTACGAAAATTATAGCCAAAGAACATAAAAATTGAAATATCTAGCTAAATATTTGTATATTTTATATCAGAATTGCAATAGTTTATTAATCTGAATCATGTATTAAAATGTGAATTTAATGCAATTTTTTAGATGCCGCGAGAACCTCCGGAACTTTTACATTTCAAAGTTGGTTGCTATACTGTAACACTATAAAGACAGGTATACTTTTAGTTTTGAAACAGCTGCTGAAATTTTTCGCGTTTGTAGCGGGGTTGATGATAGAATTAAAATTTCTAAGTGCAAAATAAGCAACATTATTAATCGTAAAGGAAAAAAACAGTATTATTTCTACAGGGAAGAAGAGTCCAAATGAATACCCGAAGAAGGTACGTACTGTTCTTAAAGTTTCTAAAGTTAAATTGTTGATAACAGCAGAAAATCCTCCGGCACAGAAATTAATTTCAAGGTCTTTAAATACATCTGTAACAACAATAAATAAAATAATAAACCAATAGTTACAATTTCAAAATTCTAAAAAACGTAATGTTTATCAGCTTTTGCTTTGGCAGGTGGCACGACGCAGAACAACTTAGATAGTATCTCGTATGATAAGTAATTAGCAGGAGATAAATGGAATACATTATGAACTTCGACGAAGCATGAGTCTACTTAAATGACTGCACTGAGAAACTGCACTATTTGTTATCTAAAACGAAGAGAAAAAAATATACGAAACTGTTTCCATCTATGAAAAAAAATGTTTCAGTTAAGGGATTTATGGTTGTCTCGGGATTTTTTCTCTTACAATGGGAAATTAAAAATAAGAGAGAAGAATAAAAGTGTTAAAATCAACTAATCGTTTTATCAAGAGAAGGTTTTACTTCTGTTATTTACAGAAGAAAGTCCATTTCTCTATCCCAATGACTATGAAATTATAAAACTTAATCAAGACAAAGAAATAAGTCATACTTTGAAAAGTGCTGCTGCATTCCTTGAAAAAATGAAGATTGATACAGGTACTGCATTTTCAACGCATTCCTGCGAAGTTCCTTGACGTTTTACCTATGGACTAGTGTGCTTTTATTATCTTGAAAAGAGTTATTTTTAAGCGAAAACCCACCACAATTGATGGACTGGAAAAGGAATGGAAATCAGTATTCCTAGAAATTTGGCGGAACGTCTTTCTATCATGAAAATAACAATGCAGACTCATAATCCAGAAAAAAGGCTAGCAGATTAAACATTTAAAATAAAACTGTTTACAGTTTTGGCATAAATTAAACGGCTTCAAAATAGTTCAAAAAATGTGTAAATACCCTCTGTATTTATTATTTGAAAATGCGTATATTGCTGCGGATTTTGATTGCCAAAAAATAGTTATTAATTTTAATCATTCGGGAGAAAATTATTCTGAATATGGAGAAATTTCTTGGTCCTCACTTATTTTGATTTCTGTTTTATTTTATTATTATCTTTATTTCGCTTAGTTCTAATGAACAATGCAGGGTCATAATTTGAAAGTCAAATTAAAAAATTGGAGGGGGAATAACAGAATGTCAGTTAGCCATGTTTGTAAAAGTGCTTCCTCACCGGTACGTTTTGGCTTTTATATTAATTGCTTAGAATATGATTGCACTGGCTAACGAAATTTAATTTTTAGTTACAAAACGGAAATGGAAGTTGTTTCTTATAGATTTTTTTTTTTTTTCCTGACTTGAAATCTATTTTTAAAAGACTTTTTTTCATCAGCCGGGGTCTTGAGTACTTGTATGAGGGAAAAAATAATAAGAGTAAATGTAATTGAAGTTTAAAAAAAAAAAAAAAAAAAAAAAAAAAGTTGTGAAGGAAGGAAAAATGTAATTTTATTTTTGCAATCAGCACAAAAAAGTATGTAAGAATCAGCATAAATTATAATAAATTCTTTGTTGACCAGTATTAGTCCTATTAACGATTCTGCTATTAAATGTTATTCCAATATTTCAAAAAATTATTTAAGATGTGGAAGACAGCAAAATACTTAGCATTAATTTTCAGTTTTACTTAAATTACTTTTAAAACTCATTCATATGAATATAATGCACATAATAACTGTAACAGTTTTTATTTAAATTATTATTATTTTTTTTAACAGAAAGGACTGAAGAACGTTTTCGATGAAGCAATTTTAGCAGCTTTAAGTCCACCGAAGAAAAAAAGACGCCCTCACAGGAATTGCAATCTGTTATAACTGAGTTTTATACATCATGGAAAATTTTTTAAATTATATAACTAAGTACGATTAAGGAATATTATGCTCGTAAATAATCCATTTACTTTAGCTTGTAATGTTAGTTTATATATTTTCCTTTATATATAATATTGCTAAGTACTATTTGTAAAAAAGAAATCAGATTATTGCAGGAACACCTTAAAAAACGCATCAGTGTTAACTCACTCATAGAAATATATACTTTCGTATTAGTAGCACCCCATCCTATCCTTTGAGAGGGTTTATGGCCAACTATGAATTGTCTCTATATGATGTTGCCATTCGAAAGAAGAAAATTAATTGAAAGTTTTCTAAAATGGCTGACAGTTCTATTGCTTCGCTTTTTGATTTCTTTAGCAACGCAGGCAGTTTAAACGGATAAACAAAACCTGAGTACATGAATTAGCCACTTTAAAATACATAAAGACTGCAAAGGTTAAATGAATACATGTAAAATGATTATATATGTACATTTCTGAACGCTTAAATACATGAAATGCTGCATCCCTTTCAGTATTGAATTGTGCCAGGTTGGTGATTTACCGCCAAATCGGTATTTTAAGTACTGACTCTTGGCAAATAATCGTTATAATTCAAATAGGTCTCCTGTTTGACATCAGGAACAGGTCATTTCTTTTTGGAATACGTATTCTTTTGTTGTGCATCGCCAGATTTGGACACTTTATTTTGAAATAAAATGTTTAAATGAATAATAAAATTGAAATGAAAATGAATAATAAAATTGAAATGAAAATGAATAATACAATTTTTGAATTAAAATGTTTAGTCGAATATTTGGACAATTTTAAAATCAATTTGTGTACAAAAATTTTGATTCGTGGTTTGAGAATTTTATAACAATTTTAAAGAGCATAATATTAAACACAATATTGTAATGTTATTTATCTTTATTTTACTATTAAAATTGCTTACTTTTAAAAAAGGAAAGTGAAACATTTATATTTTTCTCTGTCGTATTTTGAAATGTTTTTACGTCTAATTTTATCGATTTTTGAAAATTATAATTTTGAAATTTAAATTAGGTAATAAGTGTTATAAAAGACAAGTTGCGGGGAAAAAAAAACTGAAAATTGTTAATGTAGTAAAACTCGTTTTATTTGTCTAATTTTCCAATTTTTAAGAAAAGCATTTTCCTTCAGATATTGTATTTATGTGTAAAATTCATTTTATGCTTTTCCTGAATTTTTATTTTTTCTAAGAAATCTTTTTTTACTCTTACATTTGCCAAGCTTGATGATATTCAGTTTTCCCTCTCGCCTCCTCTGCGACATTTTATTTATTTATTTATTTATTGAAATCAAATATAGCGGGGAATGGATTATGTCAAGAATTAACAGCAAACATGAAAAACGGAACGTTAAATTACAAGAAAATAAAAAGACATTAAATTTGAAAGAAAAATTTAATATTTTCCGCTTGCCGGAAAGGTATCTCACTAGTTGCGTAACAGAAAAGTACTTTATTTCAAGCAGTGGCAACACGCATAGTTTTTAATAACTGAGTTTATTGATTAACTATGGAAGACGAAGCGTACAGCTGTGAGAGCTGTCATGAGATGACACCGGGATCTAGATCCATTGAAAAGGAATAGCCACATTCTTGTTTTTAATAAAAGCTTCTACCGAACGTCCATAAAATAAATCTTCTAAAATTTGTATTACAATGCTTAATCGTTTTTAGGTTGGGATTCCTAAGATTCGGATGATAAAAAAATACGAAAATCCGAATTCTCGCATCTTTCTCGCTTTGTGAAATCGAATTTGAATATAGCATCCGTAGTAAATACATCGCTGAAAAGAGAAAGTAATCAAATTTTGAAATTTTACTTTGTGTACAAATGCGAAACGTACTTTGGATAGTAAATTTGTCTGATAAGATGTTTCCTTTATTTCAAATTACTTTATACTCTGGTTAGTAATAATTAACGAGTATTTGTTAGCTCTTTTCTAAATATGTTATATTTTTGTAATAAATTATTTTTGCATTTATGTGTTGTTTCCTTTTCTTGTTTACTGCTATTTTGCTTCATTTATCAATTCAAACTTCTTGGGAGTACACTAATTTCTAAGTTAAAAAGAAAGAATTGTAAATTCTAAAAATGATGAGCATGGTACATAAATGGAGCTGTAGAAATCAAGTTTCGAATAATCCAGAGTTAAATTAATATCAGTTTCCATAAAGAAAAATTAAGGAAATATGCTTTTAAAATACATGATATTTAGAGCCATTTTCATTAAAAATATAAGTGAGTATCTAAAATCTTTTTTAAGCGTTTGTTTATTTTTTTTAAATTTAATTTCTAACCTAAGGAATGTTTACTATACGCACAGCATTATGAAATAGCAGAAATTCTTTTAAAGCTCATTTGAAGTCTTTTTCAAATCATTTATGGCTTGATTATGTTTCAAGTAATTAATTCTAATAGAGGTTTTTCGCACATTTTTCAGACGATTTTATTTAAATAAGTATTTTATCAAAATTTTTTATGTTTTAAATGTTCTGTTTGATAACTCTTTTTCTTAAATATTTTTCTACACTGTAATTTCCAAGACAATAAAGCGTTTTGTAATATCGGACGAAGTACTTTATACCATTCCTCATGAACAACTTCCCAAAGTCCAAGGAGGGCTGTAGGTCGATATTTGGATAATAAAAAATGGGCTACACGAAAAGTCAAAAATGACTCTACAGTGTCTGAAATACTTTAATAATTCATCGGATCTATGCTGCAAAAACCGTAAATAATCTTTATCTCTAGGATGGATGCTTATTTGTAAAAAGGCCTTACGAATATTAAACACAATTGCAATTTGCTTCATGCGAAATGTATTAAAAACTGAAGGAATTAATTCAATGAGATTCAGTCCTTTTTCAAGACTAGGTTGGCCTTCCTGCTTCGCTGAAGCATCGAAAACGTGTTCATGCCTGTGAGATAAATAATAGTACGGTAATTCAGTTTCATTATTTGAGATCTTTTTTATTACTCCTTCTTGCTCCCACTATTAGCATTTGCCCATAAGCTTCATACAAAAGGTTTTCTAACATTTCCTTGTTCATAATTAATGTTACTAATTGTTGGGAAATTTGCGTTCTCCCTAGCGGCGCGCAGTGCTGAAGAGGCGTATAGTTTAACACTATGTAGCAGGGCATGGCCAAACTGCGGCTCGCTACCTTGCGGCTCTTTGGCCCATTAAATGCGACTCGCTTTCAACAAACAGCAGCTTAATTTTCGACATATAATTGCATTTTGAAAAAGAAAGCATGCGATGACGCATTTCTTTACAAATTACTAATTTGATTTCTTAAATTATATTACGTATGTATCAATTTAATTTATTTCAAGATGTCCTCTGTAATTTCATTGTCAAAATAACAAACCCCAGATTTGCAAATAGTTGCATTGCTGCCAACTACTATCGCAGCCATGCATTTTTAGAGCAGATAATGGCCATCGGGATAGCATAAAATATACACTACGAGGGCAATTTAAAAGTAATGCTCTCCAATATTTATTTTTCTTAAGTTAGTTTTATTTCAGTCAGTTTCTGCTTACATTCTTTCTGTGCAAACCCCTTGCTTCACATTGACAGTCTTGATCCATTCATTGTCTTGCGAGATGTGCTATTTCCAAGATACTAGTTTCATTCAGTCTTTGAATAGCTTGGCAACTATTGAAAAAACTTCTTTCAGGGAGGTAAATCACTGTTAACGTAAGGGCTGTTTTAATTTGGGGAAGAATCTGAAATCTAGGGATTTTTTAGGTAGTCCTTTTACAGGTGTCCTTTGAAGTTAATTCCTAATCCTTAAGTATTTTAGGTTATTTTTATGCAATGTTTTTCACATTTTCTGCATACTAAATGTTCTAGTAACACGTTTTGCACATGAAACATATTTTTTCACTTCTCACATCTTTCGCAATAATGCCTTGATAATCTTAAGCAAAGATCATCATTTACGTAACCAACGGTTGAGCATGTTGAAATTTTGCGGGTCGCGAAGAGAATGAACTCCACTGGATTTCAGTCCTGGTCAAAATTTTTAATTCAGGTTTTATAAGTTATTTCCAACAGAAATATTTCATCTTTATCATCAGATCTTCGTTTCAATAACGCTGCAGCAAGAAAGGAGTCACCAACTGCACATAAACTTCTTTTTTTTGTATTATACAGCTTCATACAAAATACCGATGGTAGTAAAAGTGCTGTGATTTTTTCTTGCATGTTGCTTGACGAATTTATTCTTGTTTCTAGCCCTTCGCAAATATCCCAATAGATTGAAGCCGGTGCTAGACTCTCTGCCTCGGTGCTTCTAAAACTTTTCGCCTTTTTATTCTGCAGTCCACTATAGCTGAACTGGCTGTCTCGGTTCTAGTTTTTGCACTACATTTCTTTAATCAGCTGATATTTTTTATCTTCTTAATCTTCGATCATCTTGTATATTGTCATGTCCTTCACTACCCTTAAGGTTTCTTGAGGTTTTTTGAGCTAACGGACTCAAACTTTTTTTGAGCTAACGGACATAGCTGACGTACCTGACCCATCTCCAAAACCAGTTTTTCCCATTGGCCAGCAAGTTGAAAAAAATATGAACTGCAGTCACAGCAGAGTTAATCGACACAAGGACCTGACTGCGTTAGCTCAGATGAAGGGCCTTTCATACTGAGACGTATCGGAGCTAACGGACACAGCCGATGAGCTAGAAAAAAAACACACATGTTTTTTATCACAACGGACCCAGTTGAAAAATCTGAACTTCACGCAAAACAGAGCTAGTCGGCACGTGGAACCGACCAATCACGAAATCAAGGATCAAGGAAGTTAATTTACGGAGTGCGCTAGGCTAGGCCTTTAACTCCACATCATCAGAGATAGAATAATTACATCAAAAGAGGGGTTCATCTAATAAGGGAAGATTTTGAAGCCTAATTATAAAAATAAAAGCTTTTCAGATAATGCCTTCCGCATGAGGAAAAAAAAAAAGGAAAACTCTTAGAAATTCTTTAAATTAAATTTTGTGTTTAAAAAGGGCCAGGAATAAATTTTGAGAGAGGAGTCAACATTCAAAAAGTTTTGAAAAGAATAAAAAGGTGCAATACATTTGAGAATATTTAAAATCATCAGCAGCGGTGCGCTGCCTCCCGAGATGAAAATCGTCAGCTATGAAACGTAAACAAATGAAAGCGCGAGCGATTTTCTGCTCGCTGATTGGCTGCGCTAGTTGGCTGCGCTGATTGGGCGCTTCCAGCCAGTGTGAACGAGCTAGGTTAGATCCGTGTTCCATGCAGCAGTTAGTTCCGATAGCGTCGTTGAGTATCAAGTGTGAACGGTGCTTTAGTAGCCCAAAGGAATGTTATACTTCTCTCCACTCCCTGATCACTAAAATCTCACGTAATGTACTATGAAATTCTGCTGGATTTTAGCTCCAGAAACGTTTCGTTTTGAACTATGATCTTTCATTTTCTGAAGTATCCGCGTATGGATACAGATTCAATTTCAAAGAATTCTCATATCAAACTACCGTTTTCTAGAGAACTTAAGTAGACACCTTTATTTTTGCCTCAGAACTTTAGTTTCAAACAACACAAATTTATGCAACTTCTTTTGCCTTTAAGAGATTAATATAGAATTTTCTATAAGAAATGCAGAGAGCGTTTATTAAAACGGAATGGAAGATTTGATGGCACTGTTATCAATTCTGCCGCTGCGAATCCGAAACCATCAAATCTGGAACCGACGTCTAGCTGATCTACCATCAAACATGCTTACACTAAAAAATTATTTTATGAAAGGTACATAAGAGAAAACGAGTATGAAAATATATTTTTAAAAATGCGTGTTTTCTGTACAAATGTCAGAACTCTTCATTCTTCAATTGGTATTTAACATCAGGGAACTGTAAGATACTTAATTATACTCTGCCCTTCTTATTTAGGCCTATATTCATAATTAGAATACAAACAAACTTAAACATAGGTAAACTGTAACGTGAGTAAACGCTTGAATCTTGAAGCTCACTTTCTCGACAAAATTTGATAAACATAAAAGTTAATTCGAGATGAATATACAAAATGAAACCATATTTGTCATCCCTATAATAAATTTATTTGACAGATAAAAGTAGGAAACGAAAAGTTAACTCTTTAACTTTCATTTGACAATGCTGGAAAACTCATTAGAGGTGATGATATTCAAAATGGAAGCTTTAGTGTAAAAAAAGTTCATTATTAACTAGAACACGCAAAACCTCCATCGGTAATCGTTTAGAGACTTTTCAGCCGAATTTTCTAAAAAAGCACCTGACTGCCTCAATATCACAAAGCAGATGAAGCGTTTTAATGCTAGGGGTTGCTTGCGCGAGAAAAAAAGGACAAATATTCTGACATTTGGTTTAAGTCAACAACCAAGCGAAGCCAATAATAAAATGGCGTAAATTATTCGCGAGAGTTAACCTTGAATGCTCAGCAAGTCCATGCATCATGCTAACAGACAAATGAAGCAAAATTATGGCGTTTGTTGCGCAAGCTTTTGTAGTTCAAGTGCTACAAATTTGAGAAAGCATGAGCACTGAAAACTGCAGAAACGTCAAATGGATGAAGTTTAGAGTAGATCTGCAAGTGTATGACTTTACGGGCAAAATTGGTGATCCGTGATGAAGCCGCGTTTCATGTGGCAAACTGAAAAAGTATAATTTGATATTTGGTTCACGGAAAACTCGCTAATTACAAAAGAAACATATACGTAATTCTCTGAAAATAAATATTTTCTGTGCCTTAACAAAATGCGATGTGTTTAGACTCTTTCTTCGCACAATCTTGTAATTTATTTCTTGGGAATGCTTGAAAGGAAAGATTTTCTTATGCTCACTTCTCAGCAGGACTTAATAGCAAGTAAAGCTCTGCTCAGGCGAGGCTCTTGGCTCAATTTATCAAGCTGTTTTATCGCTTGTAGGGAGTTCTGTGTTTATTAACAGGTTACCTAATTATTTTCCC